GTAAAGTCTCAACCACCAACCAAATATGTGTACATATACATAACACATAAACATATAAACATGAGTTTGAGATATCTCATGGATCAGCCGAATCTAAACATGAGATAACGTAGGTGGCTTGACGTGGTCAAGGATTATGACTGCGAGATTTTGTACCACCTATAGAAAATGAATGTGGTCGCTGATGCTTTGAGCCGCAAGTAAGCTAGTTTTTCTATTGGGAGCTTATGTATGAGGATTTTGATTGATTCACCACTTCTGGATTGATTAGGGAGGCTCAGGCCGAGGGTGTCAAGAAGGAGAATTGGAAGCATGAGCGAATCAGAGGTGAGATTGACAGGTTTTCTATCGATGGTCGTAGATTATTGACCCGGTGTGGTCGGGTTTGGGTACTAGATTTTGGCGGGATCAGACAGACTGTAATGGAGGAGATACATAAGTCCAGATTTTCGATACACCCTGGAGCCACCAAGATGTATCGGGATTTACGACTTAGTTATTGGTGGTCGTGTATGAAGATAGAGATAACCTGATATGTTGAGAGGTGTTTGACCTGTCGGATGGTCAAGGACGAGCACCAGAGGCCGCATAACAAGCTTCAGCCTTTGGAGGTTCCCATGTGGAAATGGGAACAAATCACCATGGATTTCATCACCAAACTACCTCGTACGGCTAAGGGATTTGATGTGATATAGGTTATAGTGGACCGTCTAACCAAGAGTGCCCACTTTCTAGTTATTCGAAGAGCTCCTCGGCCGATAAATTAGCCGATGTTTATGTATGTGAGATCGTCGCTCGGCATGGTGTTCCAGTTTCCATTGTAGCCGATCAAAATGTTCAGTTCACTTCTCAATTTTGGCAGAGGTTCCACAAGGAACTGGGTATGAGGTTGCATTTTAGCACTGCTTATCATCTGCAGACTGACGGTCAGAGCCAGAGGACCATCCAGACGCTCGAGGATAGGTTGAGAGACCATGTGATAGATTTTAGTGGGAGTTGGGATTCCTACCTTCCTCTGGATGAGTTTTCTTACAATAGCAACTATCACTCCAGTATCGGTGCGCCGCTATTTGAGCTTCTCTATCGGAGGAAGTGTCATACCCCAGTCTGTTGGGGAGAGTTCGATCACAGGGTCATGGGAAAGACCGATGTGGTTCTCCAGACGACAGATCTTATCCAACAGATCAGACAGAGGTTGCAGACAACTCAGAGTCTGCAGAAGAGTTATGCTGACAGACGTCGATCCGAGTTGGAATTCCAGGTCGGCAATATGGTTTTACTAAAGGTATCACCCATGAATGGTGTGATACGCTTCAGGAAGAGGGGCAAGTTGGGACCCCAATTCATCGGGTCGTTTCGAGTAGTGGCCAGGGTAGGCAGGGTGACCTACCGACTGGATATTCTTGATGAGCTCAGCCAGATTCATAACACCTTTCACGTCTCCCGGCTACGTAAGTGTGTAGCTGATGATTCATCAGTGGTTCCTTTAGATGACATTCAGGTTGATGATCGCCTGAATATGTTAAGATACCAATGAAAATTCTGGATAAGAAGACGAAGACCTTGCGCAACAAGGTGGTATCATTGTTCAAGTTCCAGTGACAACATCAGAAGGGTTCCGAATGGACTTGGGAGCCTGAGGCAGAGATGTGAGAGCACTACCTTTAGTTATTTTTAGCTTAGGACTTCGATGATGAATTCTAATTCAAGTGGGGGGAGAATTGTAACATCCGTTCCAGGTATGAATCAACTTTGTATGCATTAACTTTAATTTGGGTGGTCACGTCGTGGTAGAGCATCCCCACGACGTGGCAAAAAGTTTTGGACCGTGAGATTTAAATGACCCGCCACGGCGTGACAGGTGTGTTTAGTGAAAAACCCTAATTTTAGGATTTAGGCCATATATAAAGAACATTAAGTCTAGGGTTCCGGCCTCTATCTCCCTCTCAAACTCACAAAACCTAACCCTAGCCTCCATTGAAGTTGTGAGCTCATTCTTGGTACTTTTTGGTGATTTTTGAAGGAGATGTAAGCCCTTGGTGTAGTAGTTACTTGGAAAGCATCATTTTCTTCAGCTAGCACATCTCTTGGACCTTGGTGAGTGTCCAATATCCAACCTTTTTCTTTCCATGTTACTAGATCTCTTGATTTTGTGCCTTTTCTTCATGTCTTGATGGATTTGAGTGGTGGAATCTCATAAAGTTTGCAAATTTATGAATCTCCAGACCATTTTGGGTTTCAGATGCTTTGGATCTGGAGTAATATTGAACTTTAGCATCATGCATGCGGGATTGGCCAAAAACCCTCATTTTGACCTAAAATGGAAAGGACATTCGTTGGACATGCATGTCCATAAAGCCACAATTTTTAGGGTTTATTAGGAGTATGAAGTCATTCTAGAAACTTTGGAGGTGCAACTCTAAGGATTGGGTGCTTAATGAGAGTCATGATGCATTAAGTTATCCTTAGGAGTTGGGATTTTTGAAGGAGATGTAAGCCCTTGGTGTAGTAGTTACTTGGAAAGCATCATTTTCTTCAGCTAGCACATCTCTTGGACCTTGGTGAGTGTCCAATATCCAACCTTTTTCTTTCCATGTTACTAGATCTCTTGATTTTGTGCCTTTTCTTCATGTCTTGATGGATTTGAGTGGTGGAATCTCATAAAGTTTGCAAATTTATGAATCTCCAGACCATTTTGGGTTTCAGATGCTTTGGATCTGGAGTAATATTGAACTTTAGCATCATGCATGCGGGATTGGCCAAAAACCCTCATTTTGACCTAAAATGGAAAGGACATTCATTGGACATGCATGTCCATAAAGCCACAATTTTTAGGGTTTATTAGGAGTATGAAGTCATTCTGGAAACTTTGGAGGTGCAACTCTAAGGATTGGGTGCTTAATGAGAGTCATGATGCATTAAGTTATCCTTAGGAGTTGGGGTTTTGGGATCTTGACTTATTGAGGGGTCTTGAGGAATAAAGTAGGAAAATTTATCTATCAAGACCATGGGAAGGATCAGATATGAGCTTTGGAGCTCTTGAAGTTGGGGGGGAGGGGGATGACTTAATGGTTTAAGTTGTCTAGACCAGTCCCCACGACGTGGCGATTAGGTCGAGGCCCATCTGATTTGTCGACTAGTAGCCGCGGCGTGACCAAGGATGGCCACGGCGTGACGACTAGCTGGCATTGACTTTGACTTTTACCGTTGACTTTTACCAAGTTTAACTTAGGGGCACTTTGGGTATTTTAAGCTGTAGTTTGAGTTTAGGTCAATGTTTGTTGTTTAGGTGACGTGTAGAGTTGGCATTTGGAGCTGCGTTCTTTTCTGCTATCTTTTCAGACTGCGAGGTGAGTTTTCCTCACTGTACTCATGGGTCGAAGGCACCAATGTCGACCTACTAGGTTATGTATCTTGGTATATAGGATGTTGTTATGTTATATTGATCAGCTAGATATGTATGATTATCTGTTTGTCGGTTATATGTTTATATGTTGCATATGTCGACATAGTGTGGTTGGGTTGAGGTTATACTGCTTTGTGTTGTAAGCCAACAAATCTGAGGCAATCCAATTGGGAGATTGTAGGTCAGAGTGGCAATCCAACCGGGAGGTTGTGGGCCAGGGTAATCCAACCGGGAGGTTGTGGACCCAACATGCAATATGTATGGCTATCCAACCGGGAGGTTGTGGGCCATGGTAAGCCAACCGGGAGGTTATGGACCCAACATGTAATATGTATATTTGTTTGGTTGTGTGTGGTACTTTGGGGGAACTCACTAAGCTTTGACTTACAGTTTAAGTGGTATGTTTCAGGTACTTCTGATGATCGGAGCAAGACAAAGGCGTGATCGTACACATCCTTTGGTGAAATGTTTTGGAGATGTTATGATACATTAATTTTGGAACAATTGTACTTGATCTTGAGTTTTTCTTACTTAGGTTTGATTGAAAACAATGATTTCTCTTTAATATAAAAATGAAATTTTTTATTGTGATTTTGGTATGTTACAGCTAGATGATGTAACTTTCTACCCCTACTTTGGTCATTTTTGACGATTGAAGTTCTTGGTTTTCTGCTGTGCGTTTACATAAATCTCTTAAAAATTGCTCAGAGGTGGTGTTCTTGATGATGTGGTGGATGATTTGGAAATGTAGAAATAGTTTCATGTTTGCTACAAAGAAGTGGAGATTGGCGGATCTTTTTGACAATATTATCACTCAATCATTATTTTGGGTTAATTATAGGAGTAGAAAGTTTTCTATTAATTGGGTGGGTTGGCTTCAAGACCCAAACGTTGCTATTTCTTAATGTTCTTGTAATGACCTTTTGGTTTTCCCAGCTAGTTTCTTGCTAGTGTGGTGTGTTTTTAATTCCATTGATGTTCCAAAAAATGTAAGAAATTTCAATTAAACATAAATAATTGAAGACTTCTATTTATTACTTACTTTTATTTAATGAAATGTATTACATATTTGACCTATACTAGCAAATCATTCTACAATATCCCATTTTACATGGCCCAAATAGATTATCAATTAGTTTTTATCATTTATTATTTTTTATCGGCTAACATCTAGTTTTTTAGCTAATCTGTCAAACATGACTTTATAAATCTGTCCTTATTTATTTACTTTTATTTTCTCATATATTATTATTGTTTAAATAACTTTTAAACATTATTTATATAGATATCACTTAATAAGTAAACACTTAGGAAAGATGAGAAACTGTCACTAAACTTTCATCCACATTTCAACAGCCTGTGGAAATTTGTACCGGAGAAAACACGGCCAGTGGAAACTCACAAAGCATGATGTAACCAATTTCCTCATTAGCTAAATTTTACATCAGATATTTAAATTAAATAAGTTTAATACTAGTAGTATAAATAATTAAAAGTTAAAACATATATGTTACTACATACTTTAATAAAATTTAACCTTTTTAGGTTGTTTTAATAAAGAATTTATTAAAATCCTGCATTAAATTCCGTCATTCTTTTGTTGCCTTGTTGCCTTGTCTCTTGACTCTCTTCCCACCTGCACATTCACCAACACTCTCCTTCGATCACACTCGAAAAGAACCAACACTACAAAACACTCCCAACTCCCAACTCTTATGTCGGCTGACATTCATCAAACTTACGTTTCTTTCATCCTCACCTCACTCTTCCCCAAAAAAACCAGCTTAGATATCTGTAGTTAGAAGATCTACTCCTTCCTCTTATTTTTATTTCTTACTTTACTGTGAAGAATCGCATGAGGGTTTTGATTTTCTCGACATGGGTATAGATTTTTTTACAAAAGAATTTCATGTTTAGATGGCAGAAGCATGAAATTTTTACATAATCGCAAGGTTTTTGTCGGATTTTTTGTGTTCTTAACCGAAAAGGTGCAGTGGAGGTGTTTGTGAAATCGTCTTTTTTCTGCCCTAAAAAATGCAGTCAAGGTTAGTGACAATGGAGGAAGGCAAAGATCCCACCAATAGTTCAATCAAGACAAATCAATCTAGGGTTTTTCCATTTAGATTACTTAGATTCATGTTGATTTTTCTAGGCGCGGGCATTATTCTTTCAATCATTAGTATACGCATGAACAGAAATTTAGGCTTTCGGACTATCATTCCAGGAACACAGCCTTGTTTTCAAGAACCCATTAGTTTACAGAATCTGATTAAGCCTCCATCAAATTACATGCATACCATGAATGACAGTGAGCTGTTATGGCGAGCTTCAGTTGTTCCTCAAATCAAAGAATACCCGTTCAAAAGAATACCTAAAATTGCATTCATGTTCTTGGCAAGAGGACCATTACCTCTGTCACCATTGTGGGAGAAGTTTTTTGAAGGAAATGAAGGACTTTATTCAATTTATGTTCATTCTTTGCCTTCGTATTCACCAGATTTTTCAACATCTTCAGTCTTTTATGGGAGACAAATTCCTTGTCAGGTTAGCAACATTTATCTTCTATGCCCTTTCTTACATTCTTGAAAATTATGTGATAATTGTGATTTCATAATTGGTTTGTAGTGTTTGGGTGGTCTATTTTTGAATATGATTATATGATCATCTAGGTTTAGTTTGATACTGATTTTAACAAAATTGATTACCAAGTAGTGGAGTAAAATGGCTTGTAATTGTATACCCTTTAATTTATATCTCCTACAACACGTTTTAATTCAATTTTTGTTCCACAAAAAAGATAGAATAAAATTTGAAATTTTTGTCCCAATAAAATCTCTGTCTCTGCAAAAGATGTGAATGCCCTCATCATCATTGAAAATAGCAGAAAGAAAAGCCAATGGACTGTGTGTTTTTGTTTTACTTAATTCAGAAAGAAAAGTTAGGTCTATTTCGATGCATAAAGAAAAGTTAGGGCTATTTTCATTTTTACTTAATGGACTAATGGGGACATGACTTGGGGATGTTTTTTTTCCCTCATTAAGTGTTGTTCTTGGGGAAGAAGATGTGTGAGTTTGAATAGGTTTTAAAATAAGTAACAAAAAAGAGAGAGTTTGGTTTAAGGGTAGCAACCTAATAAATGAGGTCTTAATGGATAATGGACTAAGACACCCTCCTCAGTCTCACCTAACCCATTAAGCTCATCTGTTTATATCATGTCAAAAAGAAACACCACTATATATCTAGTCACATTAAATCATGTCCCCATTTTTAAGTAAAAAAGAAACAACTCCGTAATCTTGTAAGTGTTTCCGTTTTACTTTTTAATGCATCAAGAAAAGTGTTTCTTTTTCTTTCTCTCATATATAACTCAACGTTGACAATCAATTCAAATATACTAGATTCAACGTTTCCAAATTTTATCAAAACCCATATTTCATTTAGATATATATAAATAACGAAAACTCTTTTTTTTTTTTACTCTAAATGTAGATGGTGGAATGGGGAAGAATGAGCATGTGTGATGCAGAAAGACGACTTCTAGCCAATGCATTACTTGATATCTCAAACGAATGGTTTGTCCTCTTATCAGAAGCATGCATACCTCTTCACAATTTCAGCATAATTTATCGATACATTTCAAGATCAAGATTCAGCTTCATGGGTGCAATGGATGAACCTGGACCATACGGGCGGGGTAGGTACAACCCCAACATGTTACCAGAAGTCAACATTAGTCAATGGCGAAAAGGGTCTCAATGGTTTGAAACCAATAGGAATCTTGCAGTTGATATCATTAAAGACACCAAATTTTACCCTAAATTTGAACAGTTTTGTAGACCTGCGTGTTATGTTGATGAACATTATTTTCCTACCATGTTGACTATTCAGTCTCCATATTTGTTGGCAAATAGGAGTCTTACCTATGTTGACTGGTCAAGGGGTGGGGCCCATCCGGCTACTTTTGGGAAGAATGATATGAGGAAGGAATTTTTTAAGAAGATTCTTGAAGATCAAAAGTGTGTTTATAATAATCAGCCGACTTCTGTTTGTTTTCTTTTTGCACGGAAGTTTGCTCCTAGTGCTTTGGATGTGTTGTTGGAACATTCGATGGAGTTCTTTGGGTTCTAGTTCAAGATTCTGCAGAATTTTTTAGCTGATTACTTGTATTTAAGCAGCATGAGATACTATTACTTACTGAGTAAATCTTAATCTTAGGAAGATTTATGGAACAGTTGATGGCTGAATAATAATTTGTTATCACTATTGATGTAGTGACACAGTTGTATAATACAAAATCAGAGATTTTGTGTTTGTATTTGTATAAAACACTCTGTTTTATGGAAACTTAGATGCTTTTTGTTCTGTGTTTTGATATGTATTTTCAATGATTATTGTTGTTTTAAGTTGTAGATGATTAGTTTTTTTTTTTTTTTTTTTTTTATGAATCTGATTCTTTATGGTTGAAATAATTAGTTTAGAACTAGTTAAGACAGGCTGATTGTCCAAGGTTTGTTTCTTATGATGAATGAAATTATGAAGTGGTAATGAAATGAGCAAGATAATAGAACGAATCCTTACCTTATATAATCATGTTTGATTGGTTTGAAGGGATAGTCACATGTTTGTTATGTACTATCAAAAATTTAAATGAAATTAATTTGATAAAATATATATATATATATATATATATATATATATATATATATATATATATATTAGCTTTGACAAAATAACAATATCTCGTTAAATAAATTATATATAAACATGTTTCATTTCATTTGAAATATATATTCAAGACAATGTTATTACTTATTAGTCACTTAAAATTGTTAAGTCGCTTTTTTTTTCATTCCTCAGTAATGCTACATTCCATTCCTTCTTCAATCGTTGCATACTAAACACTACCTAAGATAAGATATAAAGATGACCTACCATACCACTAGATTCACTGACAAAAATTAAGCAATATATTAATATATAAACAACACCACCAATTATTATAGCTTCAAAATAGTCTCTTTGTCAGCAAGAAGCAGCAAATTAATCCATATGAGATAACAATTCACAGTTCAACATGTTGATGTCTCTCCAAATCCTGAGTTTGACCAAGGTACCTTGCAGCTAAAGTCGCCTGCAATGCAGCACCATAAGGAAGAACATCTTCATTAAGTTCAAAAAATGGTGAATGCAACGATGCAGGTGTTCCCTTTTTTTCATCCTTCATTCCAATAAAATAAAAATAACCAGGTATAATCTCTTGGTAGAATGAAAAATCCTCTGCCCCCATTAATGGTGGTGTCTCTTTAACATTATCAACACCAAGAACATCTCCTGCAATTTCTTGGAAGAATTTGTGTAACCCCTCATGGTTTATTGTAGCAGGGAAGAAGGGTTTATCCTTTGAACCAAATGTCACACTTGCATTACACCTATGTACACTTGCTTGCCCTACAATAACCTGTTTTTCAGATTATATTTTAGTTTTGGATAAATGTAATCTCAAATTCTAAGTTTTTGTATTTATTAATGCATACATATTACATACCTCCTCTATTCGTTGCTTCAATTGCATAAAACTTTGTTTAGAGAAAGCACGGAAGGTTCCACCAATGGTGACTGAATCCGGAATAACATTAAAAGCACCACCTCCATGAAATTTGGCAACCGTAACAACCTAAAAAATAAAAATAAAAAATTTCTTTTTTATTTTTTATTTTCATAACAATCAATGACAATTCATCTATGTATTTTCATAACACAACGCTGTTGGGAAACCTGAGAATCAAGAGGATCGGTTTCTCTTGACACGAGTTGCTGTAAACTGACAACCACATTTGAGGCTGCTAAAATTGGGTCGATTGAGTGGTGGGGGATGGCGGCATGACCACCTTTTCCGGTGATGACCGCTTCAAAAACACCACTTCCGGCCAAAATAGCACCGGATTTTGAGAACACTTGGCCAAGAGATTGCTGTGGAGAAACATGTAAACCAAATATGGCTTTCACATTCTCAAGAGATCCGCTATCCACCACCTGTTTTGCACCACCACCGCCTTCCTCCGCCGGTTGAAAAACCAGGACTACTGTTCCCTGCCAAAATGGTAACAAATATATGTAAAATGTTTTGAGTAATTTGTACTCGTATGCTCATACAGAACATGAAACTCTTTTAAAAATGAAAAAGAGGGTTAATGCAAGAAAAACCTAAATAATTGTTAAGAATTCAATCCTTTTAACTTATAAACAAGAACCCATACTGCATCTAAATTCCATCTACCAAAATGGTGAGCATTCAAAATAGAGGCCAAACAAACCTACCTTCAAAAGATGGCTATGGTTTTTGAGAATCTTGGCTGCCCCAAGAAGCATAGTGACATGACCATCATGACCACATGCATGCATCTTTCCAGGAACTTTACTCTTGTGTTTCCATTCCACCATTTCCTAATCACAAAGATCATAAAACTTCTCAATACACTTATTATGCTACATCCACGAGTATTGAGCAGTTAGAATTTGAGTCAATTTTATCGAATTGGGTGTAAATAAGACCTCGAAACAATAACTATAAGAACTTGACTTGAGTTCTTATTAAGTCAATGTTCAAAACACATAACAAGTAGTTCTTGTAATCAGCCAGAGTTCAAAACTCAAAACAATAGAAATGGATAATAAATCTCGCAGAAAGTTAATCAACTTCAACTATCTTAGAAATTAAGCTTAAAAATGAACAAAACCTGCATGGAAAGAGCATCCATATCTGCCCTTAGAGCAACAAACGGAGGTTCGCCGGAGCCGATGAATCCAACAACGCCGGTAACTGCAATTGGGTGTTTGTAAGAAATCCCCAATTTATCCAATTCTTCTCTGATAACTTTACTTGTCTCGAATTCTTGATATCCCAGCTCTGGATTCTCATGTATCTTTCTCCTAACCCCCACCATCCAATCAAAAACCTCACTTTTCTTTGCAAATTTGAGAAATTCTTGCGAGATCTCAGAAACCCCAAATGAGATTTGAGGTTTAAGAAACGAAACAATCATAATTACAAAAAACCATTTCGAAAATTTCATTTCTTCGGTCTGAACAACTAAGTAATAGTCAGTACGATGGTAAGATTGAATTCGAAAGAAGACGAATTACAGAAATTGGTGAAGAAAATCAGTAGGGCGAGGAAGGTGAGCGTGTATGTTGTGTGATTAACTGATTATGAGCATCGTAGTTCATTGGGAATGAGGTGAAATACAGGGAGAAAAGGTTGAATTGACGAATATTTGTGTTAAAAAATAAGGAGTAGGTGAATTAAGATGCCGTCGATATTTTCGCGGTGGCTCCTCCGTTGATTCCCGCCGGCACTTAATTTGTAAACGTGCTTTAATTGAAAAGCATGTGCGCAAATGACAACTCATCGATCCGTTTGAGATCATTAATTTTTCGTGTCCGTATATTTGAATTATTGGTTTTTAGTTTGGTTTTTCTATGAAGCTAAGATTCTAATTTCGTGTAGCAAATTTTGTGATACTCATGCACATTATAGTCGATATTTCTTGAAGAAAGTGCTTAACACGATGATTGTCGATATCCAAGTTGATTATCATCACATTATTCCATGTTCCGGATTCTAACAATTAAGTTATTAGTTTAATCGTTATATTGTTTTTTTTGTTCATCTTGTTATCCACTCCATTAGATCCAGCTTCAAAATTTGTCTCTTGTTTTATGATAATGTTATTCGTTAGAGATATAAACATGACTCGTATATTAGTAAAAAATGGATAGAGATTGCAACCCCTAGAAATAAAAAACAATAATTCTCAAATTCATGAACAATACAAGATCCCTGCATCTTGAAGATCTCAAACCCAAGATTTTTCTTAGGAACTCGCTTCATAAATTAGTAAGAAATCTATTTTGTTGCATAAATTTATATAAAGAGTGCAACTCAAACCTCATACCATAAATAATACAAAACTACACCAGGCTAAGGCTACAATTTCTTGACCAATTTGTTCTCTTTTCAAGATCATATCTTACTTCTTGGCTGCTATGTTGAAGCATCTTTAAAGTTTCCTAATATTACAAGACACAACTGGCTCTTAAGTATTATCTGCTTGCTGAATCAAAATGATACCATATGAAAAGTTATAGCAGTCATCAAAACTACAGATACCCACATACTACATGAAGAAATAAAGAAACAAAAACTAATATAATGTTGACAAACATTTCATATTCTTACTATGAATCAATCACCTTTTAATAGAATAGACAGTATAAAAGCCAGACATAAAACCATATTAAAGTCAGTAAAATGTACACATTTATTCTGGAATTGCAGATAGTTATATACTACTGATCAGACAATTTCAGTTACCCGCGAGCTTTAAGTTCTGCAAGACGCCTAGACAGATCATCTTCATCAACCTTCTCGGCATTCTTTGTTGGCACAGCGTGCGCAGCTGGTTGCGGCAAACCCACAGACACCTCCAGACCATAATCATCAGCCACTTGTTGCATCAAGCTGTTAACTTCTCCTTCAGGAGTCGAAAGTGAAGTGCTACCGGCCATCGAGCTCTCCATGAACTCTGCCTGTACCTCCATATTCACAAACTGTCGCTCAAACTGGTCCATCGTCTCCGACATCTTCTGCAAATTACCTGTTGCTAGGGTTGACTCAAGAGACTTGACGATCGACCCCATCGACTTGCTGATCGTATTCATCTTGGCTTGTGTATCAAGTCTTGCGACCACCGCGTCGAGGCGAGAGGCTAAACGGAGGTAATTCATCTGTTCATTACGCTTACGGATCGCGTTTTCGGCGTAAATTCGTGCTCCGTCCATGTTTCCTTTCTCGATTGCCTTCTTGACTTTGAGTTTCTCGGTTTTCTCGTCTTTTTCGCACTTCCTTGCCTGGCGTTGGAGGCTCTTCGCGGTGAATTTCAGTTCCATGATCTGATTCATCAATTTCTCCGCTTGCCCCATGTTTGGATTGAGCGACGATAGATCGGAGAAACTGCAAAAGATTTGCCCTCTTCTGAGCTAGGGTTTGGTACCTTCAATTCTTGGAGATTTGGGAATCGGGCGTTTCAATGCGTTTCATGAATTGGTTGGGTGACCGTTACAAGATTGGTTTTATATGGATGTTTTGGATATTGAACAAAACCTTCTCTTATCTTTTATTGTTTTTTTAGTAAATTACAATGAACATTGTGGTTTGGGTTAATTTGTGTTTGGTCCATAATTATTTTTATAATTTTGATCATCCTTGCAACTTGATTTGTTTCGGAGTTAGTCCCTACCTAAAAATCAAATTTATACCCTTCTTATTCTTTTTATTATTATTACTTTATTAAAAGAAATATTTCAAATAAAATAACATACATGCGGTCCCACCCCACCGTCAACCTTCTCTTATCTCTATAGTCGATGTACAAACCATCTTCTTCCCCTTTTCAATCGTCAAAGCTCCATCACCAAACAACTTGTGATAACTCATCACCACCTCCGTATCTGCAACTTTAAACACAAGACCACTCACACATAAAATGCATCCGGATGAAACCACAATAACCCCATACTTTTGAAGATTTCAGATGCAAAAAACGAAGTCGTGGTTCAAGATTCACCATCATGTTCGCTTGAATCACCATCTGCAATCAACTATGAAACCCACCACGGCCAAACCTAAAGCCTTCGTCTTCCTCCATTGTAACATATCATCAGGGAACAATGTCACGAAGGGAGTTCCATCCACACCTCTAATTAAACAAACTGGTTATTTCCAAAAAAAAAATGTAAAGCGTTTTCCATTACAACCAGAAAATGTAAAGTGATTTTCATTCAAACCAGTTAAACGATTTTAATTCAAACATGTTAAACAAACCCAATGATCTCCCAGTTGTTAAACAAACCTCCCAAAATTTCAAAACCGATGCAGCGGAGATCGAGACTGAAAAATCATAATTGACTCAAAAGAGAGGGTGAAAGAGAGGATGAGGATGAGGTGGTGGTGGTGGTGGTGGTGGAGATGACAACCATTGGAGATCAAGACTACAAAAATCAAAATTAAAAGATTATGCAACAAATTCTCGTTGATTCAGATGATGTTTCAGGAAAGGGTGATTCCTGCTTTGGACATGGGTGAACCGGAGGTGGAGACAGCAGCATGTATGTTGATTTTGTGCATCAAAAGTGAGAAGTACAATCGTTGGTGGTTTTCAGGGAATAACGAAAGAGAAATTTATCGGTGGGCGGTGGACAGAATGATGAAGAATGTATTAGTAAATCGATGTTTAGGAAGAAGATATGGGAAAGTGTGTGTTTTCGACGTTGGTAGACATATTAAAAGAAGGAGATGGATGGGAAGGGGGTTAGTGACCAAACGCAGTAGGTAAGAGGGGTGATGATCTGGAAAGAGAAGAATAGTAAGGGGTGGTGGTGGGTATCTTTAATATAAAAATAAACAAAAAGTAAAAATAAAAACAAAATCAGAAAGGGTATAATTGTCTTTCTACATCGATCCAGGACAAAACGTACAATAAAAATAAATTATAAGGATGGTCCGAATGAAAAAATGAGTTTGTAACACCTGATTCCTGGTATGTATTTTATTCAAGAATTGTATGTATTTTCTCTGGGACTCGACGAGTTGGTGGCCCAACTCGTCGAGTAGAGACGGGATCCGCGGGAAGTTTAAGTGACCTACTCGACGAGTCGGAGATTGACTCGGCGAGTAGGTTCTGTTTGAGTAAAACCCTAAATTTGAGGGTTTGCACCCTATTTAAACACTTTATCTCAGCCTCCATTGCCCTTATCACTCCCAGAGAGCTGTATATCGAAACCCTAGCCGTTTTTGTGTGTTCTAAGGTCATTTTGGTGCATTTAGTGAAGTGTGAAGCTTGAGAAGAAGAAAGAAGTTTGTGAGTTCGAGTTGAGGCTTAGAGATCCAGAGATTTTGGTCCACTTCCAGCTCAATCAAGGTAAAATACCCCTGTCTTGGTCTTCCATGTGTTATTCATTCTTAGAAGCTTGGACTTTGGGTACATTTAGGGCTTTCCAAGCCATTTTCGGATTTGTGAGGTGTGCATGGAATCTTGACTTCAGATCTGAGTCATTGGAGGGGTCTCATGGCATAAATGAAGGGTTTTATACATAAGAACAATCCTATGTGCTCATACAAACCCTAATGCTTGGATCTAGGTTTCACTATTGAACATGCAATGAATCCAAGACTTACAAACCCTAATCTAGAATACATAATTTCGAAATTAACAAATAACATCAGATCTAGATGTTTACCTCTTCAATGGAAGCTTGAATCTTCTTCCTTGGAGCTTAGAGTCACAAGTGTAACTCCTCTAATGGCTTACAAACACCACAAGCAAGAAGGCAATTATGAGAGAGGAGGGAGGATGCTTAATTTCGGCCTAGGGTTTCTCTTGGGAAGCAAGTGGCCGAAAATTGAAGGCTAGGGGTCTTATTTATACAGTAGGCTGCTAGGGTTTCAGTCCAAACCCTAATGGACAACTTAATGACCAAGCAGTCCAAGGAACCTTCTGGAATAGGGCCTTGGACGAAAATATGATGATCCTTCATCATAATTCCGTTCCCCCTTAGTCCAATAGGTTTCCCAGCCCAAAACTCAACTATCACACATTTGACAGTTTAAGCCCCTTTATTTAATTAATCTCTTTTAGTCACCAAATTAATTCCTAATTAATTGATGACTAATACTAATTAAATAAATATGATTTCTCCTTTAATATATTATTCTTATAATATATTAATAAACCATAATATCCTCTCTCTTTCCTTAAATTACCTTGTCAAGTTGCTTTGGTGAAGGCAACCCAAAAGGACCATGCATAACCGGGTCAAGTACATACCAAATATAGTTACGGGCTTAGACACTAATCCAACAATAAAGGTGCCAACTTTAAGGCCATGAGATCCCCATGCATCTTGTAGAACACCTTTTATGGCTTTTGAGCCAAAGACCCCATGCATGTGCACCAAGTTTGGAACTTTACGTGTAAAATGGACAATTAGAAGGCCAGATTTATGATTTTGAGGTGTTAAGACCCATTTAAATCGACTGTATAGTAATGGTCAAGGTTGAGCTCGACGAGTCGTTCTTAGGACTCGGCGAGCCGGGGTGTTTTGACCACCAAGTCCCTTCCATGGATGGACCAGTTTTTAGGATGGAAAATCCCTTAGTTGTTTGGACGCGTAAAGGGACCTGGGAATCATAGGACTCGGCGAGTGTATGAACAGACTCGGCGAGTCCAAAGCAATCTCCCAACCTTTGAATATGAACTCGACGAGTTGTTCATACAACTCGGCGAGTCATAGACTGGATGTATTCATAGGAGGGAGATGAACTCGACGAGTTCAAGGTCGAACTCGGCGAGTCGGTTGAAGATTGTCTGATGTGTTGTTGAAGGCGAACTCGCCGGGCTCTTGCTAGACTCGACGGGTAGGGACGAGAGTAATACATTTGGTAGTTATGGGAACTCAACGAGTTGGCGGACCAACTCGGCGAGTCGAGTCAACCAAATGTTGACTTTGACCAGGGTTTGACCTTGACTTTGACTTGGATTTGGAATGACCCTTGTAAGGGTTATGAGTATGCAATAGTAATCGGAGAAGGTTGTTGTGTATGGATTGGGGATTTGTGACGAGTCGATTCCGTGCCGAGGACAGGGCAGATACTACGCGACATTGAGGTGAGTTACCTTCTTGTAGTGGTGGGTCTACGGCCACAATGTCGGTCCACCAGTAGGAGTTGTATGTTAGATGATTGTCTTTGTGATATTCGTCTAGGTTTGCTACTACCTGATATGTTTATGTGCTAGCATGCTATGGTATATGTGATAGTGGTAGTATGAGGGGAATAGTCCCCCAAGTTCGGTTGTTAGGACCGAAGGGTAGGTCGGGCACCCCAGATATGTCTGACAGTATGATTATGTTATGTTATGTGTGATAGTAGTAGTAGGGGGGTGAAATAGTTCCCGGAGTGCGGTTGTTAGGACCGAAGGGTAGGTCGACACCCCCAAAATGGCTTGACATGGGTAGGTCAGCACCCCAAAACTGCTTGACATGGGTAGGTTAGCACCCCAGAACTGCTTGACAGGGTAGTGATGGGTTATGAGCACTACAACATTCCTATGGTGTACATGCAAACCCTAAAGCTTTGGATCTAGTTTGTCTAATGAACATGCAATAATCATCCAAAGCCATAAACCCTAGATCTAGCATGTGATAATCGATATTAACAAAAGAATAGGGTTTAGATCTTACCTTTGATTGTTATGTAGTAATAACAATCTATTCCTTCTTGTAATTGACTTCTGAAAGCTTAGTGTCACAAATGTCACACCTTCTAATGGCTCACAAACACCAAGAGCAAGAGGATGAAGAATGAGAAGAGGAGATGCACTCAAAAACGTCTAGAAACCCTAAGGAAACTCTTAGCCACGTTTTTGGTGCCCTAGGGGTCCTTAAATAGTGAGGCTATTAGGGTTATCTAACAAGGAAACCCTAATTTGACTGCTTAGGCTCTAAGCAGCCCATGGACTCCCTCCTTAGTGGCCTTGGACGATTTCTAATGGGTTTCCCCATAGAATTCGTCCACTCCTCTAATGTGGAGTCCATTAGCCCAATATTCAACTATCACACAATTGATAGTTCTAGTCCCCTAAGTTTAATTAATATCTTTTAGCCACAAAATTAATTCTTAATTAATTATTGACTAATATTAATTAAACAATATGATTTCTCCTTTAATATATTATTCTCATAATATATTAATAAATCATAATTAATCCTCTCTCTCCATAATTCATCCTATCAAGTTGCTTTGGTGAAGGCAACCCAAAAGGACCATGCACTATCGGGTCAAGTACATACCAAAATAGTTATGAACTTAGACACTAATCCAACAGTCTCCCACTTGGATAAGTCTAATAACTATTATGCGTATG